TGAGCTTGGGCCGCCTGTAGCCAAACTGATAAAATGTAGAACGTACGGAGAGTGGAATCAAGCGGATATTCCCTTGTGGGCGTTTGTTCCTGCTTTTTAATTAGATTCTCGCCTAATTAATGTCATACGAAACAATGAGGTCTATTTTCTTAGAGCCGTGTACAGAATCTTCCTAGATAACCTATATTTTGAAGATTAACCCTTTGAAATCAGATACTCAAAGAGAGAGTTAGTTCTGAGAATGGTCTACGCCTCCTCTAAGACTCTCCTTGCTCCTGATTGATGGCAGGAGTTTTAATGTGTGTTTTAAGAACAAATTAAACAAATAAGAAGGTTGGTGAGGACAGGATTAGTCCGCAAATTAAAACAAGGCGGCACCCTCTAACAATCCTTCATGTCCTCTAATGAAGTAAAAACCAATTTGTTCACTGGCCCATGAACTCTATTCAATTGTTCATTTAATTAAGAGTGGGTGAAGCAAACACTCATTTAAACAACATCATCCAGCTTATCTTCATGAACATTTTTTTCAGGAATCAATCCTGGTGATCAATCTTGGTGATTTCAAAGTAACAGGTGTGTATGCACGAAGCCTTTTACTACAGGGAGGAAGTTTGTGCTGATTAGCCATTGTTATAGTGTTAATGTTCGAAGGGAATTAGGAACCGTTCTGTGATGAGAAGTAAGCAGTCAAAAATGAAGTCATGAAAGCGGGTTTAAACCGGGTATTGTTATAAGCACGACGAGCTCTTGCGAAACCAGATGCCTAATAGTTTTTGAGAGTAAAACTCCGAAGTTACAAGAGGTGCCTGCAGATTTTAAGACTTAACAAACTTCAACTGCACAGAAAATACCGCGTGAGTACTACACCTCATTCAAAGTCTGTTGTATCCTAAAGGTTTTAGGCGCTTTGTTGAAAGAAATTTATGCGATTGAATGTAAGCGTCTTATATTTCAGCTTGATTCGCTCCTTTCAAATTTTTGAGGGTGGAATTTCCAGTAACGTTACGGGAAAAAAAAGACCGTGCACCTGTTTTCAAGAGCTCTTCCAACATATATTATGTGGACATACTAACAAAAATATTTCTGCCGATTAGTGTTCTTGTAATCTGCTAGTTTCAAAGGTGTGCAATATCTAACAACCACACAGCAAGATAAATAGGCGAGAAAATATATATAAGTTATGGCAGTTCTTTTCACGAAACTTTCCTGTTTCTTACCTTTAATTTGAAGTTATACCTTATACTAAAGCTTACTCAAGCTGCTATTGTTGAAACTGTGAAAAGAAAAGTTTTTCATAGCCGCTAGTAACTGATGAGCTGATTGATTGAAATGGTTAAAAAACTGATGGTTGTTGGCCGGTCACGTGTCGATGAACTCGCAATCAACTCAGTACTACACTTTGGATCATTTGTAGGTTCGCTGAAAAGCTGAAGATGTCTCTCAAGATCTTTGTACTGATGGCTTGCGTTTCGATCTGTCTTGCAGCTAAGAGAGAACAGGAAAAAGAAGGTATTTTCAACAGGTTTATATCAAGAGACCATGAATTGTTTTTGTTATTCATTTTCTGGAGTTTAGATGCGAGATCGCTCAATTCGAAAGTAGGCTGATTGGAATCAATTCGACACTGAATTTGCCACTAACTTAATCTTGTTTATTCAGATACCAGCTGTCAAACATGTCAACAATGTAAATTTTAATTTTATTCGTTTCGGTGAATATATAGTTAACCCTTTAACTCCAAGATCTGATTGTGAATTCCCTCCTCCAGCTGCCCCTCATTTCCTTGTAGATAAGTCACAAGAATTTGGTGCTGAATCAAGATAGCAACGTCTACCTGATAAGTTAGAGTGTTCTAGTTACCTTTTTGCAGGATAGTGTATGGATATTGTAGACAGGAATTACATGTTAATCACCTCTGGGAGTTAAAAAGGGTTAAGCTTCCTTAAGCTTTTCATCCTGAATTAGGTCCAAGGTACACGCAATGGCCAAGAATGATATTAATGAAGAAGACGATATAAATGATAAACCACGGTCTCTTTTAGGATTTTGCTTTGTATGTCTTCTTCTTTACTAGTTTTCAACTGACGTATATTTTATGCCGTTTGTAGTTCTTCCAGGTGTTTTCTGTCCAGAATGTATTGGCTATGGAGATACTGCAATGAAGGCCAAAGAAGATTGCTTCGCTAAAGCTATTGTGAAACGGTGCAAGGAAATCGATGCAATATGTGCAAAATTCTCTGGAAAGAATTTTGACGGGAAAAGCATGGCTCATCAGTTTTTATGTCTGAGCTCAAAAGATTACGACGAATTGACAGCTTCTTGTAAAGTACAAGGCTGCATTGCGTCAAAAGTACAACTGCCGATGGCAATCATTCCAGTTAAAAACTAAACCTTCTTTGTCTGTTCAGGTATTCATGTTATTTGATGAAAGTTTAGGAAAGTTTATTTGAGAAAAGTTTGGGTCTGAGCTTTATCGCTAATGATCATAAAACAATGGAATTCGTTAATGGATAAATTAAACCGTACTAATACGGATGACACACAGCGCTTAGTTGACCCCAGTCCCCTCTCATTCTCGTGGGGTGGCTTATATTCTCGCTGATTTCATCTTTTTTTTCAGTATACACACAGTTTTCTTATTTGATTTGCGACTCGTATTCAAAGTTTTGTATTAATTTATGTAGTAGTGTCTGTGATGGAGAAGTCACCCTGGAAACATTTTGGCAGTCATGCTTTGTGTCAGTACCCAGTCGGTTGCTGCTTTTTTCGTACTGAATAAAAACGATCATCGTGCACTTTGTCGCCATTACTTTCTGCCGGTCGATTACTCCTCTATATCTTAGCTTAGGTGGAATCCCTAGTTCAAGTGGTATGAATATCGATTATAAACTGGCATGGATGTTGAAAAATTGAGTATAATTTTCGAAACTTCCAGGCATTTTCTGACATCTTTTGTTTGAGATGATGTTGTCCCATTCAAAATCTGAGTATGAATGGATAACTGAAATATAATTTTTTCATTTACGGCCATATAACCTTAGAAAACTTTTTTATATTATGTTATACTTCCAATCTTCTCTTTGAGGCAGTGAAACATCAGCAATTAACACATATTATCAAACTGTTTATTTCCAAAAAAGAAAAAGAGTACTTTGAACCGATGTCTAAACTTATATATTCTCCCCACCTACTACTCTTCCAGTGAGATGAAAAAATTCTTATTCATGAAAATTCTTGTGTCTTAAATATCCTTACGATCAATTAAGGCTTTTACAAAGCTGAAGTCAAACAACGTTTTCCCTTCCTTTAAAGATTTCACGTGGCATACAGTCGAGAAAAACCAGATAAGTCGACATCGCCCCAAAGCCATGCCTTTGACCGACAGCAGTAAAATAGCGCTTCCTTGTGTTTTACGCAAGGTGAAAGAGCACGATCATTGCAGGAACAAAGACGTTACTACGTACGTGTGTTGAAAGGTCATGTGGCTTTTTTAGATCGGGTGCCCAAATACAGATGATCTAAGTGCCAAAACGTTCATTGCTCAACAGCAGAGCAGGCTGGTATATGCGCTAGTTTTCCTATTGATTGTAAATGTGCCAATTTAAAGGGGCCAAAATGCTATCTCAGGGTCGTAAGAATCGAGATTCTGCTTATGTTTAAAGGTTGAGATTTTCTTGTTTGTCCCGAGTCTGTCCACTAACAAAGAACTGATGATCTTTCCGCACTGTGGATGAAATTCAGGTCTGAATGTATTATGCCTTTATTCGTTCAAGCTTTAATTCTCTTCATTTTCTTAGTCATCATCTTCCAGACGCAATCTCAGTCCACGTAGGACTAACATTCTTAGTAGATACTTTTTGAAGAGGACTTGAGGAAGAAACCTCGGTGCAGAGGAGGGTGAGGGCACTTTATCTTGTCTACCTAGGATGAGAAAGAGGAAATGCAGTCCGTACCTTTTTTAAAAAGAAAGAAAAAAGTAAAAAACGAACTAAAAACAAGTTCCGAGCAAACGCTGATTCATGAGCATCATTAAGGATAATAATGTCATGGATCGCTGAAAGCAGAAGTTCAGTTCACAGGAAACTACTCCATTATTTTGGGAGGAGAAAATTGCTTAAAGGAGAGATCATTTGTATTGTATCACAATCGTATGGCAACTTTTTATATGACATAAAGTCTGACATTTAACGCCTCCTGGAGGTTCTGTCCTTGCCAAAGCTGTCGATGTAAAATGGCAAAGTTTCGAAACCACGTTAATGAAACAGAATAAAAAGCAGTGTAAGACTGCATGTGACCTCTGCTGTAGTTTTGGAAAAAATTGAAGTAAAATAAAGCAATGGAATGGGTATTTAACGCACTTTGAAAATATGGGGACTCTGTAGTGTCATCATTTTTTTTATTTCTTCTTTCCTTTTTTTTTTATCAACGTTCTTTAAAAGACTATGTTTTTCTAGCTTCGTCCTGCACGTCACCATCACTGATGTCAGTTGAGTAACCGAACCACAGCATTTGTCATTTCTTTTCCCGCTTTTGGAAAAAAAAAATGAGGCTCTAATCGTTCCAAGGTACAATTAATCTATATTGTGTTTTGCAGTGGATGAATATTCAAATTCGCGATCAGCAAAGTTTATACAGAAGATCTATAAATACTGAAATGTAAGACGGCAAATGGCCCTTCAAAGGTATATTTATTTCAAATTTCAATTGACAGTTACACACGCGTTATTTCCTAACAGACTATTCAATGTTTTACCAATTCTTAGTTCTTACTCTAGTCGAGCCCCACAAAGAACTGTTTGACATGCCAAAGCCTTCTACGCTGGTCAGGGGACTTACGAAAAAAGTTATGGACTTACTTACAGCACTCTAACATACATGTCCCAGAAGGGAGGTAACAGCCACAAAAACCGGACATCAAGTTATCTAGATGCTGGTTTGCGCTTTTCATCAAAATATTCAGAAAACTCTGGAGGAGGGTGAGGACACTCCATATTGTTCTTCTTCCTGGTGAAAGAGGGGAAATGCAGTCCGCTTAACATCGACACAATACAAAGATAGATTGCATAAATCTTATTAGACGTTTTGGTATGTCAGTAGTAGCGCTGAGTATTTTTACGAGTTATTTGTATCTTGACTCGTCCTACAGGCTCGTTAAAATATAAAAAAACCAGTAAATCATATGGAGTATATTTCTTATACGCTTTAAAGCTGAAACCTGTTGAGACCCTTTCCTGCATATATAAGGAACTTGTTTATCGAATTTCAACATATCGTCAACAGTAAATATTTAAGCACCTTCTAGTGTGTCGCTGTTTGGAATGATGAAATTCCGAGAGAATTCCAGAGAAATTTGGGACTGACTCTTTTATTCCACATGATCATCGACTGGTATTTTGTATGATTTCTTTTCATGTTGTTATCTAAAAACCATTTGTCCACGTTTGTCAAGTCAGAGTTTATGGTATCCGTAATTTTAAAATTATCAGCAAAGAAATCAGTAGTACCGTTCTCCAAAGTCTCTTTATGGGCTCTTCAGTGAAGATTTTTCAGATCATTTTCGTTTGGAATGGAGGGCATGATGTCATAATTAAGATCCTTCTTCACCTGCAGCGCTGGGAAAAACTTTTAATCGAAACACTTTTGAAATTATATCAACAGTTTATACTCTCTATCTAATAAAAATAAAGTATTTGATACCGTCTCGAATCTTCACCAAATTAGTTATTCATGTTACTAGAGCATATTATCAAAACATGTATTAATATCAGAGGGAAATCATACCACATAAATCCTTAGTTTCTAGTGTACTTTTAAAAGCCAGTTTGAATAATGGTAAAATGGAAACACGACTTCCAACTAGATCCTGTCATGGATACTAAAAGGAAAGATCACTTGTTTCGTATCACAATCGAGTCACAACTTTTCAACCTGTCTGACATTTAACACTTTTGGGAAGTTCTTTCTTTGCCAAAGCTATCGATGTCTCCAGTTTTAAGAGGGTACACTTTCCAAAAGTTTTACTCATGACGTATTAAACACCGGACATCAACTTCTCTTAATACCGGGTTGAAATTTTCATTTAAATATCTTGCATCGTTTTTTTCGAATTCAGCTCATGATTTCCCGGCAGTTGGCTTTTTATCGATCAATCAAAGACTTTGTTACTAAAATCACAAAACTAACATTATAGTATGAATGATTCTGACTTTTAACACTGATCAAATCTTAATCAAGGACTCATGATGTATTTGCCCGTTTTCGTGCTGTTGTACAATTATTTCCTCGTAAGATTTAAAAATATCAACACTCCCAATTTCGTCCAAACGTTACATCATACAATTGTTATCATTTGGTAACAATATGACGGGATGGAAGAAATTAGATTCTCAGTAATTTACGCGAGACTCCACTTAATTGTTTTGGGTAAAGGACAACCTTTGCCGCCTTGGTGGTAACAAGTATGATTTATACACATTATCATGTTAAGGAAATGGTTTTTCAACTTTTCAGTCAAGAAAGTCAGGCTTTTTCTGTATATTGTTTATATTGTTAAGTTAATAAAAAAAAAATAGCATGAACGGTGTCTTAAATGACTTATTCTAGTGTCTTCAAATAGAACGATATTAATGAGCCTATTTTACTAAAAGGACGGTTCAAAAATTAGTTATTAGATCAATTTCTAAATTATCTTCGAAACAGAACTAAAACAACATGAAAGGGGATGGAACATCCAGCAAAATAGTTTTAATATATTTATTCAAGGAACACATTGAGAGCACGAGAAATTGTATATAAGCAGAGAGAAACTTTTCTCAGCATCAAAAAAACTTTAAGGAATAGAGGAAAGAAATAAAGCAGCAAGCGGAGAAGAAATCCTCACCGCACACAACAAGAAATAAAAAGGAATTGAGCAATGGAGGTTTTCAAGGTAAAACATTAATGCCCTTTGTTACTGTATAACGTATTTGTAAGAGTTCTTTTGACTCTTTTTAATCATTTCTCAATGAAATTTTTTCAATCGCTTTACCTGACAACATGGTTAGGTTTGTGATCTTGTCTGTTTCAATAATTTAGAAATACTTTTTAAAGGCAAAAAGTTTTTCCAAGAAAGTTGACAAAAGAATTCTATTCTCTAGGTTCTTGTCGTTATCCTCGCGATTTTTCTTCATCGTGGAAATGGCCGGGCAACTGATTTCGACAAAATCATGCGCAGAATTCAAGATGGCGGAGTCCCGTCCACCCAGGGTGCTGTACCATGGAGATCAAAGAGGTCCCCTGGTGACGAGCCCAGTTGTTACACAGGCAGAGTTGTTTCCTTCACTTTGCCAAGCAGCAAAACAGTAACTTCTCCCATTTGTAAGAAGATTACATCTTCCGGAACCGCATGTTTTAGTTCCATGGCAAACAACAACAACCAGAGGAAATGTGTTCCGTCCAACTTCATCACAGAGGAAGGAAAAAGATATAACACTGCCTGTTCATGTGCACCATAGAGTAATTAAAGTTGGAACTTTTCAACTCCAAAATTTTTCAGGAAGACCGAAAGATTTTTATATCAACAAGCATATATTGTAATCAACTGCTGAGATGTATCAGCATATCATGAAAGTGTCATACACTCGTATGTATTTATATATTTATGAACTTACTGAGTAACTGTCAATTGTTCCGACGGAAGCTTCAAATTGTTCAACGTACTCTTTGAATCCGTATTTATGAAATATTTATCTGTAAATTTGTTGTGTCAATAAAGTAATTACACAGTTTTAATTACAATAATCTCTCTTCACTTAGA